TGAAACGGAGTGAACTCAAAAGACGAGAATAGCTGTGCGCTGTTGTCTTCATTTGTTTCTTCCACTCGAGTAGTACCTGAGATGGTCCATTGAATGTCCCCATATGCATTTTTGTACCCTGCTTTTGTATGTTTGACAGATGCATTTGAGATCAAGTAGGTTTTTCCAATTTTGAGATCATCTTTGAAGGCTGCAATAGTGTTGTCCCAAAGGGTAGCCTGCACCTTGTTACCCTGTAGTAAACGATTTGAAAGTGAGGTTTGTTTAATATAGAGATAAGTAGATAACTATATTAAGTGTAATATTCTAAATATTACAGATTTGGTTTAAGTTTACTTTTAAATATGTATACGTAATAGTAACACATGTTATAATGGAGAGTGCAAAGTGATGTTGGTACTATAAAAAATAATAAATTATTCACAAAATAACAATGTGCACTAAAACTTACTCTTTCATCCATGAGGATCAGGTGTTGGTATCTGGTCTGGCCATTTTGTGATGATTTTGGAGGTGCTTTTTCAGCAACCACAACTTTGGATGTCCAGTTTCTTTGGTCGGGGCTAATGTCAGTGATGAGAGTAAATTGTTGATTCATGATGTTACTTTGTATTAGTTGGGTAGAAGGAAAAAGAAGTTAGAAAAATGTGGCTGGTAAGTGAACATTAAATATATTTTACATTGCAGCTTTTTAAAATAAGTGCAACTGTTTGTTTTTTTAGCTAATACAAATAAGGGAAACATAGTATAGAATCTTCACATAGAATATAGGATATGAAGAAACACAACAGTATTCTCTCTCTTTTTATTTTTTGTTCGTGTTTTTATAAGCTATAACTTAAGTAGCAAAAAAAAAATAACTCAAGAGGTAAGGTGAGTTAAACAAGAACAAAACTATAAACCTAATAATTGAAATAGAATTGTCAAGAATGTAGACTGAAGCAATATTTTTTCTGTTATGTGTGGATAGTATTATAATCTCTAATAATCAAACCTAGTGGTTAGAAAGATTTCTTTCAAACAAATAGAAGTGT